AACAAATACAGAAGGACGAAGCGCTTAATTAAAATGTTAATGCTTTGTAAATATCGAGATGAAAGAATAACTTCTATAAATAGTGAAAATGACTTTTCCATCGTTTAAAATGCAGAATCTGTACTTTCTAATAGTTGAAATCATTAGCTTCGGACCGAACTGAATCGGGTGATCCTACGTTGAATAAAATACAAACTTAATCACCCGAGTTTCGGATGGTACTGGTAAACAGCGTCTACCAAAGGGCGGCGGGTTTCATTTTCGGCGGCAACGAGATCAAAGAAGGGGATAGAACGAAAAAAGACTGTGCGCAAAGTAAAACAGGAAGTTCTGTTTCAACGGGACGCAACGAGAAAGGATGAGGGGACGTGCCGAAAAGCGAATGGGAAATTGAGAAGCGACTTGTTTCCAATAAAAAGCGTTACTAGCATTCACGAGTGAAAACTGCACATGCTGGAAAGTTGACAAAGGAAACTGATGAATTCTACACGGAACAAAAATATGCAGGAGAAATGATTTATCGTTTGCTGAGACTTAAATCTGTTTTACCATACGAATGACACGTGTATTATTTCAATTTCTTGTTTTCAACGACATTAACGCTGATGGAACAATGTTTTCTTTCCATCAATTATGTCTCCGTAATACTAATAAGATTCTGCAAACTACCATAATTGCATTTAAATTGTTATCTGCGAAACTCAATTAACGAAAACGAATACAAGAAAACAAATCGTTCTCGCTATCAATTAAAATTTATTACAAGTAGTATCATTATAGAGACGATAAAGTTTTCAATAATTACAACATTAAAATAAAAGAAGCCTCCGAGAATTTCCAGAATACCCACTGCAGTTAATTACAAACTATAATTAATTATAAAAATATCAATATAAAACTATCAAATTAAATATAAATTAAAGCTGTTTCGAAATTCTCTATTCACGATGGAGTTAACCTCGCGAAACAAAATTATCGAACCTAGTGAAAAATCAAAATTACCTACCGTCATTATTAAAATCAGATTTCCAACAGCTTTCTTCACTAATTTCATAAATGCGACAACGAAGTTTCGGAAGCGTTCAGAATAAAATTTGTCTGTTGCAGTCAGTTCATATTTTTGTACTCGTCTCGAAAGAAATGTACTTCGCCTAAAATATTTAACAACAGCGTCGCTGCCTTGTTATGCGAACGGCACCTGCGTTCGAAACATTTTTATTGAACCGTGGGATTTGCAGCGGAACCGTTTCGAAGGGGGACTGCGTTACGCAGCCGTGTAGAACGAATGAAGGAGCATAAGTCAAGATAAAGCGCGCGCGTTTGCCAGGCGCATGAAATATAGAGACGACAAACTGCAATCTGTCCAATGATCGGTATTGGCCCATCGGTGGGCGTGAATCAATCCACCGTTAACAGGCTCCCGGCATCCGTTGCTGCGTTTTATTGTCGACGACCGGCAAGCAGAGCAGAAGCGCGGCACCCGGGAGCGCGACGCGTCATAAAGCTCTGATACGATTGTTAAGAATTTACGGTGTTTGTTCGATCCGGGGCAACGCTTGTTCCCGTTCGAATTGCACCGGGTCGAGGAAATTTCTTAACCTCGGAATCTTAGCCATTCGTGCAGACTAATTGACCGAGCCCCGAGACACGCTAGCTCGCGCGCTCCTTTCTCAGCCACGCTCGATCACGAAACCATATTTTTCTTCCCTCTTTTTGCAAAGTTACAAGGTGGGGAAATTGGAAGAATTGAGGACGCTGGTGTTCGTTCTGTCGACGAGACTCGGCAGAGACTGTTGCAAATTGAAAACAGAAAATAACTACAATGATAGATCGCTTACACCTGCTTCCGGTGGAACGTCAGTTTCCGAGAATGTCTAATCGAATGCTATCGCTGTATCGGTTAGACCGTGTTGGACTGGTTCTGATTTTTGAACCAACTATATTTTCTTGACTTATTACGCCCCGGAATTATGACGCTTGGTGAGAAAATAATTTGTTTAGAATTTGGAAATAATCGGACAACGGAAACCTGGATCGGGTTTGCGTTGAAGTTCAAAAATGTTAATCAATTCATTTAATGTTTAAACATAATTGTATTTTGCTATTTTAGAAATACTGTTTCTGACTAAAAGACCTTGAAACTAATTTACCATTAAATATAATACAGAAACATCCGTTGAGTGTATGTATGTACTTGTATCCGTAGTTTTAAGAGCTGTTTTTAGCTTTTCAACATGCATGATGGCCGATGAAAAAATGTGTCAAATATTTTCTCAAACAATGATACTGCATCGCACGCTATATTTAATGGAAATCAAATTTAAGATTTTGTGTATATTTTTTAGAAGTAAACATTTAACAGTATTTCTGAAATCATCATTAAAATTTAAAATTTCAAGCATATTTCCTATTAAGTTCAAAATTTAGGCGAAAATTGCAAAATATATGTTCCTAATGTTTATGCATCTTTGATTTGCAAAGGTCGTTAAGGAAAGTACAATAAAACAGAAAATTTCTATTTTCGCAAGATTATTATGAATTTATCGAACAGTTATGGCAGGAATTAACACTCGAGATTCCAACGGTGATGGCATTTCACATTCCCGCAACAACTCGGAATGCTGGCTGTGCTGGCATTGTGCATATTAATTATCGTCTTGTGGGAAGGAAATATGAAAATGCTTCGCAAGTGCAAAGGGCTAAGATTGTATGTTACCTCAATTACGTGATGCATGCGACGTGACTAAAATTGTAACAGCATCACTCATTTCAGTGCGGTTAGTAATTTAGTTGGTTGTAGCAAAAAAAAAAACTTCAAGCAAACCCTCCCGGCTCGTGAAAATGTCCTCGCGGACTGTGTATGTTTGTGTAAATTTAAGGAACGAGCGTTGTCGAGAATGTTTTTGTTCGAGATTTCATTAAACTAGGTAGAACTTGAGGAAATTGTGAAATTTAATTGGAGTTGTATTTTCCTTTTCATGTTCGCTTGTAATTGCGCAGAATTCTTTTTTCAATTTGTCTGCTGCTTTTTTTAAACGGATTAAACTGTCCAGAAATAATAAAAAGAATTCATGTTTTGCGCAGATGGTAACAGCTTCCTCTACAAGAACCTTTTTCCACATCATTTGCTCCGCCCTAACACTGCCAGCGACAGTAACGCGATTCTGTGGAGTTTATATAGTTGTTTTGAAATGAACTTTGAAATAAATAGGAAATTAAATTTTTAATGAAAAATTACTAAATACATAAATATCAAAAGTTGAATTACATTAATAACAATATCTTCACACTATTATACTTGCATAATAATAAAGATCTACACAATTAATTTGATCAAAGAATATGAAATAAACTAAACCGAATCATCAAATATCATTCACTATCAGAAAATATGTTCTCTTTCGTGCATGAATGTCTTTGCAAACGGGAATCAGGGTGCAATCCATTCAAAACTGACAATACATTTAAAGTCAACTTTTACTACAACTGCCGAGATATTTGATCTTGACAGCGACTGTGTACCTTCAGTCCCGTCCTTCCAGTTTCATTTCCTTTTCCGTCAACACCGAGATCTCTTAGAGTACATCTGCGATGGTAGAATAACATAAGTCGCACAAAACCACCTTTACGATTCCGACAATAGTAGTCAAAAATTTTGAAATCTATCATATCAAATGGTTTCGTTCTTTTAGCGTTAATATATGAATAAACAAATTATATTTAAACATTTCTCACTACTTCACTTTTCAATATAGAAGTAAGAACTAAATCGTTAGTCTTTTTATATATAATTCATTAATTTTATAATTAATAGTGAATCTATTGAGAGCACTATACACTTGTTGTAAACAATGGAATAAAAATATAACTTATATTATGGAGGGTAGATGTCACCGATTTAAACTATGCGTGTCACTATGTAACCACGTCATGGCGGACTTCTGTAGTTCGGCGAGTTTGCGGAACCAATGGTGGACGCAATATCAAATTTATTTCTGCCCGCAGTATATAAACATTGTGTGAATTATTTCCAATTAAATGAAGCCACCAGATTATCATGTACATTACAGGTGCATAAGAAAAATTACTAGTAAATGTATAAATATGTCGGTATATAGTGGTATGATTATCATACCTGTATTTCGAAGATTGTGAAATATGATACCGTAAAATATTATACCTGTATTACGAAGGTTGTAAAATATGATACCGGTGGTCATTTGTATTTCGGTATGTAAGTGCCTGGTATAAATCTCTCACCATAATCTTTAAACTTTCCAGTAACTAAATTATCAATTCATATAACACTCATTACTACCAGAAATAATACCGTTCTAGTAAAAAAAGTGAGAAACTCGTCCCAATATTTCGTGAACAGTCTGCGGGACCGTAACGACACTAAAACCAAAGCCCCAAGAAGGGTCGCCCGGTTACCCGACCATTTCTCTGATGTTACCACTCGCTCTTCACATTGCCAAGCAACGCGAACGCAACGGTAGGCGCATCGGTAACCTTCGGTGTCGGTCGAAACTCGGTTCCGCGGGCAGCGAGCAGCTGTTCCGAAAGTGTGGACGGGTTTCGAGGCCGACTCGGCCTCGGTTGAAAGTAAGAGCAGGCCGCGTAACCGTAACCGGTATCGACGGGGCACGGGCGGTCGTTATAATCGAGTCTCGTTACGCCTTTCGGTCCGAAAACACCAGCAGTACCCCGACTAAAACGGTCCTGCGGTACGCGTTGAAAATGAGAAAAGAAAAGAGGAAAATCCAGCGATATAGATCCTAGCAGGATGTCCAAACCTGAGAGAGCGATGAATTCTGATAGGACGGAGAATTTTGATATATTCGAGAGTCCTAACTGGGTGGAGTATCCAAATAGGGGCTCGCGTCTCACGTAAAATCCTGATGCAGCGTAGCGACAAGAGGATCCTGTCCTATGGAGAATCCGAGCGGCCTAACCTAACGTTACCGGCGCATTGCCTCGCGTTCCGGTGGAGGTCTCACCTGGCTGAACGTGTAGAGCCGGTCAGCTCCGGAAGTCGGACGCCGAGTGGTGAGCCAGAGTCCACTTGGTGCCGCGTAAAATCCCGTGGTTTCTTCCTCCGGCCACTGTACGCACCTTTCGCAGCAAGAAACACGGGGCCTGGCTAGAGCCGGTCGGGAGAAGAACGGCGACAGCAGCGGCGGCGGCGGCGGCTGCTGCTGGTGAACAGAAATGGTGTCTGTTCTCTGGCTAGTCCCGTCTTCGTTCCTCCCGTTGCGATGTATCAGTATGGCAGGCGGACGATAGCAGTCGACGATGAACACGCACGGTAGTTACCCCGAGTTAATTCGAACGACGCGATATCTATGCGAGCAAAAAAATGACTGAACTGTACACCACCACGACGAACCAGCACGACAAGCACCAGCGACGATCCGCGTAGGCGCTGGGCGCGTACTGTGCCGAACGAATGAAAGCAGTATGGCGCCCGGCGGACAGCTTTCCTGCGGCGCGATCGCTCCTCTTTGTCCCCTTCCAGCACCGCACTGTCCCACTCCGGTCAGACGCGGTTCCCCTCTACCGCTATGCTGTCTCCGTCCTATCGACGCGCACGGTTCTCTCGGCCTCTGTCTAGCTCGTTTCTCCAAGCGTTGTGTCTCGCTTCCTCTGATCGATGTTGGGTTTTCTGCTTCTCTCTCTGCTGGGTTCCCACCGATGTTACCTGCAGCGATGGCTACCGGCGCTCGAAGGGTTTGAACAATGATACGATGAATGGGGATCTATTTTTTGTCTTCCGAGGATGTCTAATTTCAGTCCTTGGATTGGTATGATCTGTTTTGGGATTTTGTTTGAAATACTTTGGGACTGGGCGGAGATGCTGTCGATACTAAGTTTAAATGGGGTTTAGAATTTATGGCGTATGTGCGTTTAGAAATGATGTTTTCGGTCGTAGTGTTTTAAAGACCACTGATAATTGTTAACACGTTACTTACCGGAAGATCGTTAATGGACATTTCAATCGCTGAGCTGCGCGCGAAAGAAGCTCCACAATTTTCTTTTAAATAACAATTTCAGAAGTAGTTATTACATTATATTGGGTTGACCGGAAAGTTCGGGCCGATTTTCGGTAGGTAGCGTGAGAGACCTGACTGAATAATATCACAATTATTGAAAACAAATGACATGTGTACATATTCTGAAAGAGATAACTTCAGCCATATTTGGAAAAAAGCTTGGTTACGATTCGTTAATTTTTATCAGTTTTGTACGCCTTAGAATATGGTGGCAAATAAAGTGCATTATAGGCATTTAATGCTTTTCTTTTTCCGAAAGGGCAAAAATGCCACACAAGCGGTAAATAAGATACGCGCTGTTTATGGCGAGGATGCTGTAGCCGAAAGAACTGTGCGGAAGTGGTTTGCTCGGTTTAAAGCTGGAAATTTCGACCTTGAAGATCAAGAACGCCCAGGTAGGCCGTCCACCACAGACGAAGATATGATTAGAACAGAAATCGAGAATAACCCACGCTCAACATTACGTCAATTAGCAGGAATGCTAAATAAATCAAAATCAACCATCCACGATCATACTGTGAAGCTTGGCTCCGATATTTAAATGAGCTGCGTTTTAATTTTCCTAAAAAATCGGTACGAACTTTCCGGACAACCCAATNCAGTCTGCGGGACCGTAACGACACTAAAACCAAAGCCCCAAGAAGGGTCGCCCGGTTACCCGACCATTTCTCTGATGTTACCACTCGCTCTTCACATTGCCAAGCAACGCGAACGCAACGGTAGGCGCATCGGTAACCTTCGGTGTCGGTCGAAACTCGGTTCCGCGGGCAGCGAGCAGCTGTTCCGAAAGTGTGGACGGGTTTCGAGGCCGACTCGGCCTCGGTTGAAAGTAAGAGCAGGCCGCGTAACCGTAACCGGTATCGACGGGGCACGGGCGGTCGTTATAATCGAGTCTCGTTACGCCTTTCGGTCCGAAAACACCAGCAGTACCCCGACTAAAACGGTCCTGCGGTACGCGTTGAAAATGAGAAAAGAAAAGAGGAAAATCCAGCGATATAGATCCTAGCAGGATGTCCAAACCTGAGAGAGCGATGAATTCTGATAGGACGGAGAATTTTGATATATTCGAGAGTCCTAACTGGGTGGAGTATCCAAATAGGGGCTCGCGTCTCACGTAAAATCCTGATGCAGCGTAGCGACAAGAGGATCCTGTCCTATGGAGAATCCGAGCGGCCTAACCTAACGTTACCGGCGCATTGCCTCGCGTTCCGGTGGAGGTCTCACCTGGCTGAACGTGTAGAGCCGGTCAGCTCCGGAAGTCGGACGCCGAGTGGTGAGCCAGAGTCCACTTGGTGCCGCGTAAAATCCCGTGGTTTCTTCCTCCGGCCACTGTACGCACCTTTCGCAGCAAGAAACACGGGGCCTGGCTAGAGCCGGTCGGGAGAAGAACGGCGACAGCAGCGGCGGCGGCGGCGGCTGCTGCTGGTGAACAGAAATGGTGTCTGTTCTCTGGCTAGTCCCGTCTTCGTTCCTCCCGTTGCGATGTATCAGTATGGCAGGCGGACGATAGCAGTCGACGATGAACACGCACGGTAGTTACCCCGAGTTAATTCGAACGACGCGATATCTATGCGAGCAAAAAAATGACTGAACTGTACACCACCACGACGAACCAGCACGACAAGCACCAGCGACGATCCGCGTAGGCGCTGGGCGCGTACTGTGCCGAACGAATGAAAGCAGTATGGCGCCCGGCGGACAGCTTTCCTGCGGCGCGATCGCTCCTCTTTGTCCCCTTCCAGCACCGCACTGTCCCACTCCGGTCAGACGCGGTTCCCCTCTACCGCTATGCTGTCTCCGTCCTATCGACGCGCACGGTTCTCTCGGCCTCTGTCTAGCTCGTTTCTCCAAGCGTTGTGTCTCGCTTCCTCTGATCGATGTTGGGTTTTCTGCTTCTCTCTCTGCTGGGTTCCCACCGATGTTACCTGCAGCGATGGCTACCGGCGCTCGAAGGGTTTGAACAATGATACGATGAATGGGGATCTATTTTTTGTCTTCCGAGGATGTCTAATTTCAGTCCTTGGATTGGTATGATCTGTTTTGGGATTTTGTTTGAAATACTTTGGGACTGGGCGGAGATGCTGTCGATACTAAGTTTAAATGGGGTTTAGAATTTATGGCGTATGTGCGTTTAGAAATGATGTTTTCGGTCGTAGTGTTTTAAAGACCACTGATAATTGTTAACACGTTACTTACCGGAAGATCGTTAATGGACATTTCAATCGCTGAGCTGCGCGCGAAAGAAGCTCCACAATTTTCTTTTAAATAACAATTTCAGAAGTAGTTATTACATTATATTGGGTTGACCGGAAAGTTCGGGCCGATTTTCGGTAGGTAGCGTGAGAGACCTGACTGAATAATATCACAATTATTGAAAACAAATGACATGTGTACATATTCTGAAAGAGATAACTTCAGCCATATTTGGAAAAAAGCTTGGTTACGATTCGTTAATTTTTATCAGTTTTGTACGCCTTAGAATATGGTGGCAAATAAAGTGCATTATAGGCATTTAATGCTTTTCTTTTTCCGAAAGGGCAAAAATGCCACACAAGCGGTAAATAAGATACGCGCTGTTTATGGCGAGGATGCTGTAGCCGAAAGAACTGTGCGGAAGTGGTTTGCTCGGTTTAAAGCTGGAAATTTCGACCTTGAAGATCAAGAACGCCCAGGTAGGCCGTCCACCACAGACGAAGATATGATTAGAACAGAAATCGAGAATAACCCACGCTCAACATTACGTCAATTAGCAGGAATGCTAAATAAATCAAAATCAACCATCCACGATCATACTGTGAAGCTTGGCTCCGATATTTAAATGAGCTGCGTTTTAATTTTCCTAAAAAATCGGTACGAACTTTCCGGACAACCCAATATGTCACTTTTGTACAATTTTTTAAGGAATTCTCAATTGTTTAATTAGAGGGACTTTTTAAAAGGTCTGTGTGTTAGAAAACTGCCGGTACATAAGGTGTTAAGAAGGCTCGAAGAACGTTACGGTTTTTAGTTACTCTTCAATAGAAGTTTCTGCGATCCGGAAATTACGTGTGCACTTGCAGTTGGGAGTTTCGGCAATGGAAGCAATTCTGTGGAAAGCGGTGTTGAACAAGAAAACAGGAAAGCATAAATAAAATGGAAGTTGGCAAACTATGATCCAGATTCAATTTTAGAAACTCTATGAATAAGCATATTTGAATTGCAGCAGCAGCAGTTTGTGTTTATAATCAATATCTAATTGTTATTTTATTCATACTCGTTTCAAACTTCAACTTAGAATAAGATCTCGTTGATTATAAATTCATTTTAAATGAATTTATGAATCATTCTATCCTCAAAGTCATTGTAGAAATATAATATTTATCAAGGTTACGTCTCCGATAGCTGCAAGAAATCGATTGACTATCAGTTTAATATAACGGATCCTTGACGACCCCTTTTTTCTTCCGTTTCTCAGGGTTGTTCATTACATTAATGCAGAGCATTTGAACATTGCGACGATATTTTATGTTATATCTCCATATCCCGGATAAATTATGAATGAAGTTATTAGGGAACGTAACACGATTGCTAACAATTCTTTAATTAATACGATTGAATTTTAATTGTTTAATTAATACGATTCCATTTTGTTATCAACTTATGAAATGAATATAAAAACTTGTTTAATAGCATCATTGTTATACAAATCCATTGTATGTTATGTTACGATGCTGCCAATTTTACGACGCATTCAATTCAGACATCACATTCCTATCATCCATTTGAACACGCTCGCAGTCGACCGAAACCCATCACTAAAGCCATTCCCTTTCTCCCGTCAGTCGATCGTTTCTCTCAGTCCCTCCGCGAGCGTCTAGCAGCCCGTCTCTTTCCTCCAGAGCGAAATCTACCTCCCTTTATCCAACCGAGTACACAGTTTCCATCACTCTCCGATAAATGCAGCTCTTCCCCTACAGAGTCGCCGTAGCTCGTCTCCTCCCACCAGCGCCCGTCTGCTCGTGCGGCGTGGAGGTGGACGAGGATGCTTTCCGTTGGCGCCGCTGGTCCGGAGCCAATGGCATCGCGGCAGGAGCAGTGTCCCCTGCGAGGTCGCGCCATCGGACGCCTCGCTTTCCCCCGGAGAACCGCGGGCGGCGGCGTGGGCGAGAGATGAGATTAAAATTAGATCGATTGTCGTTAATAACTTGCGCGTCGGCCGGCGGGCGCTCCTTCTTCGCGAAATGCAACAGTTAGGGCTGCTGCGCCGGATGCCGCCGCCTCTGCGCACCGACGAGCACACGCGTACAAACGTGTGCACACATGCTCGCGTGTGCCCACGGCCTCCCGATCGACCATTAACGGGCAGCCCACCTTTGTCTCCAGGATGCGACAAAGCGGACGCGTTTTTCATCCTGTACTCCCTGACGTCCCGCT